AGGGGAAAGTGCAGGAAAATGGATAAGAGGAATGTTGGATCAGCTGTGATCCTATCGAATGGTGGAGCAGGCTCAGGGGAGTGAATGACCTACTCCTGTTCCTATTTTTTACAGAGAGGGGCAGCAGTGTTTGACCTAATGCCCCCTCTGAAAGGTAGCACCCCTAAATGCACAGCATTCCCTCAGTAATGCATTAGCCTGGGTTTTAGGCTCAAGTTTCTCAGCCACGACTTGAACCCACAACCTCAGACCATGAGCTGTTGCTGACTATCACCAGTGAGCTAAGAACAAAGGCAACATCAATAATGCTGACATGTTGGTGTCAGTACCTGAACAGCGGCCCAGCTTGGGTTGGTGAGGTACTGACGAAATGGACCGAAACCTACGTGTGAAAAGAAAGCCAAGATGTGAAGAGAACAAAATAAACAGCATTGTTATGAATGAAATATTCCAGGGGATGTTGGTATCCCTACAGTGTGGAAACAGGACATGTGGCCCATTGAGTCCGCACTGACCCTCCAAAGAGCACCCACACAGACCCATGCCCCTACCCTGCCACCCTGCATTTCCCACGGCTAACCCACCCAGCCTGCACACTATGGGGCAACTTAGCACGGCCATTCTAACCTGCACGTCCTTGGACTAAGGGTTGGGGGGCAAACCAGAGCATCTGGAGGGAGCCAACTACCTGAGGCTGGATTTTGAACCTGGGTCCCGAGTGCTGTGAGGCAGCAGTACCAACCACTGAGCTACTGTGCCACCATAAGCTTAGAGCATTGTGCCCATCCCTAATCGCCCAGAGGACAGTTAAGAGTCAACCGCACTACTGTGGGTCTGGAGTCACATATAGACCAGACTGGGTAAGGATGGCCCAGATTTCCTTCCCTGAAGGACATTCCAACAATAGACAACAGTTTAATGGGCTTCCTCAGTGAAACTTAAACTTCCAAATCTGGACTTTTTCAACTTAATTTGAATTCCAATTGCTGGGATGGGATTTGAAAACACATTGTTTATTAATCAATTTAGGGGATGTGGAGGTCACTGGCTGGGTCAGCATTTATTGCCTGCCCGTAGTTGCCCCAGGAGAAGGCGGTGGCGAGTTGCTTTCTTGATTTGCTGCAGTAGACCCACAGTGCTGTTAATGGAAGTTTCACTTTGTCTTTAAAGGTACATCATTCTCACCAGTGGCTGCCCAGACTATATTACCCCTGGACTGAGTGGCTTGCCAGACCAGTTCAGAGGGTAGTTGAGAGCAGCCCACATCTCTGGGGGCCTGGAGTCACATGTAGGCCACACCGGGTAAGGGGGGCAGATTTCCTTCTCTGAAGGACTTTGGTTAACCTGATGGGTTTTTTTTAATTAAAATAATCAATGGTGGTCTCCATTACCATCAGTATCACATTCCAGATCTCACTGCGATGGCAGATTTGAGAATATGACCCCGGGCCTCCCACTGGGATTATGATATCTCCTCGTCGGGTAAGGACACAGATCAGGCTGGAGGGTGAAGCTGTCATGGTTGAATATCTTGCCAATGCTGGCAGATGGAGGATGGATGGTTGGACGGAGATACAGGAGGGTAGAGGGAGACCATGTCCGAGGGGGCTGAGGGGAGAGAATAGAGAGGGCGAGTGGGAATGGAAATGAAAACTAAAGGCAGTGATGACACGAGAGCAGGTGACAGAATAAACATCAAGAAAGTTTCACAGAATACAGCAACTGGGAGATACCAGTGACCAGCACCAGCTGGGAATCGGAATCCATTGGGTCACCTTTCGTGGTCGGCAGGGATCTAGACAGGAAAAGAAAGAGTTTCATTTGTATAGCACCTTTCACATGCATAAGATGCATAGAAATACTTGATAGCCCATGGACTGTTGTAACACTTGGAATAAAGGACGCTCAAGAGCCAGCCTCACACAGCAATATCCCACAAGCAACAATGGGACAATGATCTGGATCATCGATGATTTTGGCCAAACATTAAATACTGGGTCCAGGGAGAAAATCCACCTACACTTCAAAATAACAAGCCCTCAGAGAGGAGAAATAAGAATTGCACGTATGATAATGTGGCACTCCCTCAGCACTGACCCTCCAACAGTGCCCACTCCCTCAGCACTGACCCTCCGACAGTGCAGCACTCCCTCGGCACTGACCCTCTGACAGCGCCCACTCCCTCAGCACTGACCCTCCGACAGTGTGGCACTCCCTCAGCACTGACCCTCCGACAGTGCGGCGCTCCCTCGGCACTGACCCTCCGACAGTGCGGCTCTCCCTCAGTACTGACCCTCCGACAGTGCTGCACTCCCTCAGCACTGACCCTCCG